AATCCCCACTCATCAGTCAATGCTATTTTTAGCTCATCCCAGTTAACAAAGGAACATCAAAAGCCCCCCCCCCGTCTTATTTTTACGTAAGACTGCAGGGCACCTCGGCCCTTCACCACAATGCATTGTGGCAACATGCAACAACAGTCGATATTTCTTTGGCATCTCCTGTGTCTGTGTGTGTATGTGTGTCACATATTCTGCAAATGCCGGACACGGTTGCCAGGCAACAGCAGCCTCTTGCCCCCGCCCCTCCACTCACTCTTTCTATTAGAACATCAAACAGTAATTGCGTGTGTGTGTGTGTGTGTGTGTGTGTGTGTGTGTGTGTGTGTGTGTGTGTGTGTGTGTGTGTGAGAGAGAGATAAATGGAGTTTATTTATAGAAGCAGTCTAAAATTAAACTCATCTCCCCTTTTTACCCGCCGATAATCCCTCACATAGCTGTCTCCAACCTCCCTGCCACATTCATTTACAGAGACGGCAATGGGATCGAGGTTTGTGTGCATGTGTGAGACTCTCATCACGCGTCAGACTTAAAGTTGTAGCTTTTCAGAAAAATATATGCCTTTGCACAAATAAAGTGTACTTATGTGAATTATAGATGTAGACATTGGTGCCTCAACAGATAATATAACAATACTAACAGGCATATCTTCTTTATCCTCTGCGTAGAACAGGTAATATTATTGCGGCCAGGTGGCCGGCGCCTTTGTGCACAGGCATTTGGGGGTGCTGGATACGCACCCAAACGTTTAGATGTGCCCAAATTAAATGAAACTTTAAACATGATACAATTTTGCTCATAGATTCCTCTAACAGTATCGTGAGCTTCCATGCAAAGTGAGACTTAATCATCTCCACGCAAAATAGATGTAATTGTAGTGTAAATGCTGTTTAAAATCCACAAGGCATCGCGAACATGAGTGAGAACATCCACTGGTTGAATCGCGGATATGAATTCAGCCTTTGATTGTGTTGACGTGTATCGTGAGCTTCCATGCAACGTGAGACTTAATCGTCTCCACGCAAAATTGATGTAATTGTCGTGTAAATACTGTTTAAAATCCACAAGGCGTTGCGAACATGAGCGAGAACATCCACTGGTTGAATCTCGGGGTCCTTCTTTTCTCCTTCTCCTCTTCCTCGCATCACTGGAGCTGACGAAGATGATGAATGGCCGATGATTTCCTCCACAAGGTCAACCTGACGCGCGCGCGCGTGTGTGTGTGGATGTGTGTGTGTGTGTGTGTGTGTGTGTGTGTGTGTGTGTGTGTGTGTGTGTGTGTGTGTGTGTGTGTGTGTGTGTGTGTGTGTGTGTGTGTGTGTGTGTGCAGGAAAAAAGGAAGCTACATTACCACGGAAACAGAGATGGATGTCTGAGCTGACTTCATTACTCAGGTGCGATGAGCATTCGAAATAATGTTGTCATCCACCAAATTGGAAAAAGGATGACTTGCTATGTGCACGAGTTTTGTTAATGAAGTCAAAGAAAAACGAAAATGCTTTTGTGAAAAATGAAAATGAACTGGAACTACATCTTATGTTTATAAAACGAAATCAGAATTATTGCAAAAATGTCCAAGGTTCATTTTTAGAGCATTTATGAATATTTATTCTGGTATTGATTTCCATCTGTAGCTACAGAAGAAGGAATGTCAAACAGCTGCAGAAATGAAAAGGGAAAAGCACAACTTTCAGCCAGTGTGTGTCAATATTATATCAATTTACCTTGATAAAATAATAAAATATTGATGGATTTGACTGGTATTTTGTTTGATACCTCTACTTAAAAAAACAACTAAAGTATACATCTTTGAAATATATATATATAAAGTCCCGATTTAATTACAGCCATAAAAAAATAATTAAACTACTCTCCTACAAAATGACACCAATAGAATTGTCCCACTCTAGTTCTCAGTGGCTCCCGCCCCATCACTTAACACACCAC